AAAGAAGAGACTCTCCCTCTCCTTCTAAACAGAAATGATTGTATCGGAGTGCGACTGGCAACATCATTGCGTCTTTTCCCTTCGCGATAGATACTTTATATTCTTTTCAAAACTCTCGTCTCGAGGTCGCAAGAACACAGAGAGAATCGCTGGGCGAAATTTGTACAGACCAACGACGAGAGAGAGGCTATCGCTAGACAAAAACTTTGCAAAAAGCTACAAACGGCGCTCACGAAAGTCGATGACTAGGTGTATTTATCCGCGACTTCGTTCGCGATCGCAGAATCGGCATGAGCGTGGCCAGTCTCGATCTCCGACATATAGGCATGTAATCGCACAGATTCTTGCATAACGCACAAGGCATAAGAAAATCAACTAATCAGAATCTCTTATTTCACGGAAGGCTTTGATCGATTAATTTTCTTATGCATTATATATTATGTGTTATGCAAAGCTTTGTGCTGCCGCCCTATCTCTTCGATTTCTTATCCCTCTCCTTTCTCCAATTTTACGAATTTATTTACTAAACTGGCGTGTAAAACGCGCGCCCGGAAAACACAACGTCTCTTAGACAGGTGATACTTGGCAGATATTACGACTGTCCAAGGTAAACGAAACTAATGCGCGAGAGAAGATAATGTAAAGATAATGATCTAGAAGAACGAGCGAAAGTCCAAGTAAAGTCCTTTGAGATATAGTCGCTTGCGCGATGCTGCAGCGAACGCAGAGATTCTCGGTCGCGAAACCGAAATTGACCGTCTGGCAATCCAGGTAATTTTCTACGGAGGATGATGAGCTCTCACGTTCTCACGGATAATGAATTCGTAAATATTGTTGAATTTAGGTTTATCATCTACTCGTTTTACTGACTTACATCATAAAATGTAGTGTTCACATCAATACTTGGATTGCGGAGGGTTGTGATTGCATTGGGTGTGCCTACTGAATCCCAGCGGTTCCGCATTAATATTCATAAATACTCTGCTTGCTCACTTTAAAATGCAGCGTCTCCCCGACGTCTTATACGATTTGTGTTCTATAGATAAACTTAAAATTTGTCTCACGAGTCGGGTATAAAATTGGATATACGTCGAAAAATAAAGATATAGTAATTGTCGAGCGCAACTCGACGCGCGAAGCATGAAACGCTGCTTCAGAAAAGCTGATCCCGTCCCGTAAGAAAATGAGCGAAGTATTGCGGCTTTATTACAGCGCTTCGGAGGTAGACAAAGCGTTGTTCCGACTCGTGAGAATAATGAAGAAACTCTCGTTAATTTATTTATCCTAAACTAGAATGACTTTTGTACTTAACAATTACGAGAGCTCGAATAGCGCCATTCCAAGTAGTAGAAACGTCAAAATAGTGTTTGCATGTTGGAGACGAAAACGCGCGCGGATTGCGACGACGTAAGTATAGCGGCGGTAATTAGTGACGATAAAAAATGATGGTATAATATAGGAGCAGCGGCAACAGTTTAGCAGTACTATAACTGTAACGATAATAATAGTAATAGTAGCAATAGTGATAGTAATAGTAACGGTAGCAATAAATAGTAATGGTGACACAATAGTAACACAGCAACGAGAGTAATACCAATAATATCAGCGATATAGTAACAGCGCATCGCGATGTTAACAATAATAGAGTGACAATACCAGAAGCAGTTTCAATTCCGTGATAAATAGCTTTAATGACAGCCTATGAGATTGCGGGATATCGCGAAGACGAGAATTTATGGGAAAAGTAACATCGTTGAATATATTCAACCCGATACGCTCGAAATTATTTCATAGAAATGTGTGTGACACGCGCAGACATATTCATTTCTATCTTGTGTCTCCTTCACGTTTCAAATGCATTCCTTTACAGTGGCACAATTTTTTAAAGATAAATATTGGAAAAGACAGATATCATAATACCGTAGGTGTTACCTTTAAGTCATATGACGAATTAAAATGAAATCGCGATCCTGATATATATGACGAAATGTTTCTTACACGTAAACTTAAGGTATCACCGACAACCCGAAAGGAAGGGGACACGTTGCAATTGACAATATTGATAATAATAATCAATTATTTTATGAAACGGTAAAAAAGAACGGAAGAAAAATCGTAAATATCGAGCAGTCGTTTACGCATAGAAAGGCTGTTATAAACGATGCGAATGTCAATCGATATTACTGCACAATAATTTCATCGCTGATATTCTTTTTTATTGTGGGCGACAGAATTATTGCACGAAGCATCATTAGTCGCTTATCCGAGATACATATCTTGTATGTAAATTGCATCACGCGAATATCACTTCCGGGTCATTATTGTCGGTAACGGTATTAGATCGTAATTCCTCCTTTCCTCGAGATCCAGAACGCGCAGATTAGCAAGACTTCGGTTTAATTAATTGGCGTCGATCGGGCGTGTTCGCGTTAATAAATTCGATCAGTCGCGCGCGATATTGCCTCCGAAGCGGATTGTGTTGATTTTTGGAAAGTAATTACCTTTAGAAGTTCACGTTAAATTACATAGACAGCCATTAGGTTACACGAAATGTTAAATTAGACAGCCATTATTGCTAACATTATTATTATTATTATACTTTTGTTATTGGTAAGGTAGACGTTTTTGACGCGATTATCTTATGGATAATCTCATACTTCTATAAGACAAGAGATTATCTTATAGATTTAATAAGCTTTTAATAGATACACACAATGAGACCGCCTTGATAACATTTACGGGCACTTAGAGATTGCATCGAGATTGTTATTACGGAACACAAAGTATAATTATCAAGGATAGCAAAAAATTACTACTAAGCAATAAATAACTAGAATTAATATGATTTACTGATATTATAACTTCATTCCTACGATATAACCGAATAAATAAGTAAACAGCGGAAACATATGTACAGGAAATTCTCATTTTAACACGAAGCGTATTATCGCTTTCGTAAGCGTTTAATCTTATTGTGATTCACATTTTAATTGCTGTCACATTATAACATTGTCCATTCCGTCCGCGAAATTACGAGATTAAATTTTGCATAAATCAGGGACGTCAATAATAATAAAGTGAAATGCATTGCGCGGCGGAAAACAACGATATAACGAATCTTATAATCATTTATATTTTATTATATTGAAAACAAAATCTTATCATATACTAAACTTGTAATAAAAATAAATTAGAATTTATTCAAATTCGCGACAATTAGAAAATATACAATTAACCATAAAATAATAAAGATTATACACAAGGACGATATAAAAAAAAGAATTATATTCTTGAGAATATCTTCAAACCTTTTAGATAGATATTGTTTCTTAGGTCGATAGTAGAGAGATATGGATGGTTCTTTACCGTATGATTATTTAATGTACAATTTCCTTATATAATTTGTAAAAAACAAAATGTATAAAGCATTTCCTAATTTTTATAAAAATAAACTTGAGCGTAAAATGTCAATAAAAAATCAGATTAAGATTACGGTGAATTTATGAACTTAAGATCGAAACAAAAAAATATCTTATCATCTTATTAATTTCAATTCGATTTATTCGAAGAGCTCACATCTGCGAACGGAAGCCTTAAAAATAATTTAAAGACGCCGAGATCCGTGAAAAAATAAAATTTCATCTTTCTTATAGCTTAATATCGAAACAAGTATTTTGGTCGTAATCTCAGTCGATTACACGCATCCAAGAAGAAATCTTAGAAATAATTTAAAATCGCGAGGTAAAAATAACATCTTGTCAAAAGAGTATTTCTATAAGAATTCCTTTAAATGCCCTCAAATGAATACAGATATTTTCCAATTACTTTGTTAAAATTTATTAATTATTACACACCTACCACGATCTTAGTCAATAATTAATTTATAATCTTCAGTTGATAATTAATTTAATATCACGTCGCACAATACGTATCGTTTGGATTTTGGGTTTCTTTACGGTCCTTACGATTATCTCGTTCGATGGCGCGAAACGAGTATCGATATCCTTTGATAAAGCACAAAAAAATCACTTGGAAAGAAAGATCAATTGATCAATTGAAGTTATGCTCTTGTTTAACGCGTTATAATTTCAATATTTAAAGAACAGGAGGAAAACTAATTAACACACATCATCCTTCTCGTCGCGAGAAGATGCTGACGGTCTCTCGATAAAGTCACCCAAATGGATTACGAGAAGAAATTAGGCAATCTAAGACACTGTGTCAACGTATGAGGGTATAGTGTGAAAAATGGAGATTGATAGAATCAAGGCAGATTCGGCAGACACTATGGCGAAAAATTATGATGATGACTAACAGAGCGTTACGAACTATATACGCTAAAACGATTATACTTTTATACAATATAGAAAAATAAGTATGAACGCTTATGGACTAAGATGGCATGTGACATACTTAGAATTTTGCAGACTATTCTTCACCCCCGGGAGCGACAGCCATCAATATATTTTTTTAGGGGGAATTAGGCTGAAGACACCACCCCCGGTTAATATGAACGAAATGAGGTAAAGGCAGGAGAGTTAAGGGGACGGGCAAAGAGCACTGTTTCGATTTACAGCGGAAAAAATGTCCCCATTGATGATCTACATGACTGACGTTTTGTAGTGTTTCGTAGCGCGATATCGTAAAGGGATTTCTCATATCGATGCACGGAATGGAACTTGTCATAAATCCCTGTTACCTGCTAAACGGACGATGAGAGTACATACTTCGCTGGAAATATACCTTCGTTTTACACGCAAAATTACGAGATGTTTTAAAACCCTTACCACCGGTTTCAGGTACATCGAAACACAGCAGGTTGCAGCTAATTCTATGCAGAGTATATAAATGAATGATCGTATTGGATATATATATGTTTATAGCATAGATGTAAAAACGAAATTAGCGGTGCCAAAGGCACATTGCTATATTAAGAATAAAATGTAAAATTAACTTATCTCATATCCATGAATAAGACGCTATTTCATGTTAAACGCGCGTGTATCTAGAATTAATGCAAAAGAAAATAATAACAATAATGTGTATAATCGGCTGTCGCAAACATTTTAGTGGAATTTCGGGAAGAGAACATGAATGAAAAATTACAAGTAATTTTGACTTGTGATTTTATCTCAACAGCCATGCTTTATCTTCCGTACGATCGCGCGTCGCAGTCGAAGACAGCGCGACTGTCGCTATTGTTGCGTTGTACAGCGTACCGCAACGTACGATCATAGATACATCTCGATACAGGAAAAAGTCACTTCATTCAGCGGTATACTAAACGTGAACACTACAGCGTACATAGACATGCGTGAAATTACGAATCACGGATATGTAAGTAGAACAAGACTCTTTAAACTTAAAAGTTGCGTTACAATTAATTCACTATATTCTTACAAAGATTGAGATTGAGTGGAACAGAAGCTCGCGAGAGCACTTTTACAACCTTCCACGCGAGAGCATAGTACTTTTGCCCAAAGAATGAAAAGAAGTGGAAACGGAGGAGAGGAGGGGAAGAACGAATGGAGATGGAGTCCCTAGAAGACGCATCCCTTGGATCTCGTGACGATAGTTTCCCCGATAGTTACCTATCCTAAAACGCGAAATTATGTTGCATACCTCTCGGTTTCGCACATTTTTGGTCGTTTTCTCTGTCACACGAGTTTCTTTTTTTTTTTGCATTTTTCTCTTTTCTTTATCCGCAAAATTTCCGAACACGTACACACATTCCCGGATTATCTCTTACGTATATATGTAGAGTTCCCCTTAAATATATATTATAGATATACCTTACTGACTAACGCGAAAAAAGAAGGACAAACGCCAACTATACTCGTTAGAATGAACGTCTGTCTTATCGGACAAGACACGAGAATATCACATTGCAGATGTATATGTATGTGTAGGTGTATGTATGTGGGTATGTATTAATTCCTCTTCTTTCTTTTTATTCCCTCAATAATAACATCGCTTAAAAGATAAGGAGTTCTTATATCAAGTTTTACACCTTGCGACAATAGGCGCGCGTGCAATGTGTGCGTATATATACATGCGAATACGGCGAATGCGGTGAATACCGATCTTTGTCTTTTCCTTCGTTCTTTTTCTACTTTTTCCCATTTTGTCTTTTCGATCGATGTCGCGATCGATTTCCTCGCCGAATTTTAGTATATCGATAACTAAAAACAAAATGTGGCCCGAAGATCATTGCAGCTTGCAGAGGAATCCAATGTTAGATTTTATTTTTAAGTTGACGCTCCGTGTCACACGCTTTAAATACATATTATTAAGCTAATAATACATGCATTCGAGTGAGAAATAAGTAATATTTCGTAAAGGGCTTCGCAGTGGGTCTTTGGGAAAAACATTCCGTTCGCGTGCGAGACACTTTGTCCGTTTCTATCAATGTAGAGTTAACTTTAATCTCGGCTCAACTTATTTTTTAACCTTTTTTAATTCTTATAGAAATAGAAAAAGATAAAGAGTTAGTTAAACCAAGATTGAAATTAAACTACCTTGGTAGAAAATTGATCATAAGCGTTCATTCCTCGGGAAAAAAGCTTGGAATAATCGCCGATTAAATTACGCAGATTGTTAACACATTTAAACCTTAATTTTCTTGAAATAGTAAGCTTTAAATCGTAAAAATATTAGTCAATCATAATTGAATATGCGAGAAATAATCAATTACGATTGATTGATTTCTTACAGCTTAAAGTTTACAATATCTATTGTGCTTCGGGATTTATTCTTTATTGCCCTTTATGTTTTTTGCCAATATCCGATCTCGAACAGCACGAATACTCGTTTTCACGCGCAAAACATCTGGAATAATATTTCGGGCTGTGTATCATTCGAGGGGAAGAGACCGCAGTAACTATTTCATTCCTCAATACCGAAGTTGGTGAAAAAATCTATATTTATACTGGTGTATAATGCTTGGATCGATCACACGGTTTCACGATTTATTTGACATCTTTCAATTCCTCGTGTGTAAGGAGGTTTAGGCTGAATTGTGTTCATTTCGTACATACTTAACAAAATATGTGATAAACGAAGATAAAACAAAAATAAAATAAAACCGATAAATTTAATCTAAAACGTTTATTTTTACAAGTCCATGAAGGATAACTTAAGATATTTTTTTTATAAATCATATACTAATATAAGATATTATTTTACTAGCTCAACATACAGAATTGCATCTACTGTTCATTTTCATACACAGAATATTCAGTCTCTAATGCTTACAAACAATTCTAGTTATAATAACGATACGCATGTATTTCACAATAAACAGTTTGTTTTATACGCGAAGACTTGAATCTTTTGAATATATTCATCTGCTACAAATATTAAATAAAACGCATTGCGCAACATTATGTCCACACGATTAAATCGGTACCTGATTTAATGAGCCAATAAAATTATTACAACCCAATGATATCACATCAAATTATGTGTAGCTTATAAACATGAAGGCTGAAAAATATACAAAATTTACAATATAACTTGAAATGTAAAATTTAATAAAAATTTTTTAAATAATGATATAAATGTAACAAGAAAATTTTGATGTTTTTCAGAGTATCCTATTTTAAATGCTGATCATATGAAACTTTTTTATGCAGTTCTTAATACATTTTTAAGACAGGATTAACACATTATCTGGAGGTAATAAAATATTTCGAGTTTTCAATTTTGATGATAAATCTGTAAACGTTGATATATTATTAAATAACCGAAATATCTTAGAAAATGTGAAATATTTCACGACCTACGGATAATGTATTAAAATAAACCAATCACAATTATAGCATACAATAACTATCTATAATTCTACCATTCATGCTAACATACAATTATTTATTAAGCTCTTAGATTTTATATTTATTTAATTTTACATTTACACCTATAATTCATCTAATTTATGAATTTTAAGGCATACAATGCGTGTCCCTTGGAATTCAAATGAATATTGCAATTCCGATTGCGAACACAGTTTCCAAGTATTATTCCAGTTGTTCGCAAACGAAACAAGTATTCAATAATTTTATCTCTCAAAAGATATTTAATGCTATTCCTTCGAAGTAACTTTTTCCTTCTTTTTTATGTTTCTAATAAGTACTTCAACGTGTCTTTTAGTCGCATAGGAAATAACAAATGATAAGCTTATAACATCATTGATTTATCTACAAGAATTTATATTAAGAATATAATACCAAATAAATGAGGAATTTGTTCTGTATGAGCGAATATGACAAGTGAGACTAGAAATTTCGGAACATAATTGTTTATATGTGACTATAAACAAGCATTATAAATAATAATTTTGAGTTTAATACCATCGGCATCAAAGTCCGAGTATCGATACAAAATTAATATCATAAATCTTATATAGATATGTTTTTGCGAGTGTAATGTGTCCCAGGTATAATACTGTTGTCCAGTAATCGAACGACCCGAGACAAGAACTGGGAATCTTGAATAATTTTATATATAAGTCAATGACTGAAAGGAATACTTTGCCTGAAATGCTTCCACTAACTATCGTTCAAATCTTTTCTACGTTTTTTTTTTTCGTCAATCTCTGAATTTTCAGGAAAAAGAGTCGTTTATTCCTAAATCCATCTTCTAAGTCAGCAATTTGCCAAACAATTAATCGATTAACGCTAATCCCGAATAACTGAACTTTCTTTCTTATATTATAGAACAATAACATCCGAATAGACTCGTTGAGTGAAGATTCAATTCATTAATTAGTTAACTGTTGTGACAAAGTTCAACGCAGAACTATTTGATTCTATTCACAGGAAACTTCTGCATCTCATGCTCTCGTCATATTTTGTTTTGTAAAATTCCAGTGTACGATATCAAGTGGAAACGAAATGCACGTTCTATATACATGTACATAGATATATATTAAATTAATGACTCAATTAGTAGGAAACGCACGATGCGAAAATGCAACGATATTCAAGCAATTTGACTAAAATAATTGTAGTTCTCTAATATATATATATATATATATATATATATATATGCATATATAGCATATATAGCAAATATAATTGTGCGTAAACTATATTTATGCAACGACATACGCAATTATTTAGAAACACGAATTTGAATCGGTACGTAAATTCCGTATTAGAAAACAAGTTTAGGAGAGGGCAATTTCCTCTCCAAAACTTACGACCTAGGATCGATTTTCGGAACTAATTGCAAGCACTTTCTTGAGTAAAGCGCAATTACTGTGGCCATTGGCTATTGAGGTGAGTGAATTTACCTCCCATCGATCTTCTCGAAAAATTAAGCTTGCTTTCATCATAATAATTATTCATCGTAATTCATCGTAAAACGGCGTGTTTCTAAAATAATTAAATGTAATAAGTAAACGATCTGCTAGATTCCAATTTGATTATACACGTGAATCCGATTAGGATTAGTTTTCAAGTAATAATAGAGAGACAGAACGGACCTATTAAACTATTTCTGCTCTAATACACTCTACAGACGTGATCTAATTTCATTTTCAATGTACTTCGGAGAATTTCGGGCGACTTGGTGCCTAAGAAGACTCAATGCGCACGGAAGATGATCAGCCGTAACTGGCTACAACCACTATTTCGCCTGAATCAATTATGTATATCCACGATAGATCCTCGTTACGTAAGTTGACAATACGATATTGCGATATTTCCGTACTAGCCTTCCGTAATAGCTAATACTGTACGACAGCTAGTTGCCATTGTACTGTAGTACGCTAAGTGGTATGGTATAACACGATAATACCGTCACAGAAAACCTGAGATATATTCTTTTTTTTCTTTCTTACGGACCAGCTGCATCTCGAGATCACGGCTGTAGAAAATCGCGACTGTCACGCGCGACTTTATCGAATGAACAAATCGCTCTAACGACTGTCGTAGCGATAAAGTCGTCATCACGTGGAAGGAAATACTCGTCTAATAGCGCGATTTCGACATTGGTTCCTCGTAACAACGATACTTAAAAAAATTAGAACGACAGCGTCCATCGTCACAAGTCAAACTCTATAAAAACGTTAAGCAAGAAAAATGCAATGATCGATTTCACGTAGTTATATAATGCTCGAAAGAAAAAGGGAAGGCACACATACAAGCGAAGACTATCGTTCGCGTAGAAAAAGAAAGCGGAAAAAGCGCAATGATGGTGTAACGGCAGTGCAATATATTCTAATTAATAATTAATATAATTCTACAATTAATATAACTCATACAATCTATAAGTGGCTTCGAGAGCTATTGCACATGTGTTATGCACAACTATCGCGTGCGATATAACGAAACATTAAAATACTGTTATATACGATTATTTGTACCATTATCATTACAAATTGATGAAGCGATTATCGCTCCGGCTATAAATGCGAACCTTCTTGTTTACGAACAATTACGGTTGAAAAATTACGGGATAAAATCTCAACTTTCCTCTCTATCGAAAAAGTATCTTATCGGTATCGTTGTTTCGATTATACAATTTGTAGAAGGATTATTTGCGTTATCACATACGACATGCTTCGAGTAACGATACTTTTTCTGGAACATTCGTTTTTTAATATTATTTTTTATTCACATTCAGGGATATCAATACAACGAGCGAAACAGATATTAAAAAGCACTGCCATTCCACGATCATTTTCTTTACTTTGAAGTATCTCCGGCACAGAACAAATATCCTATAAACTACAAATTTGTTACAAATATTTTGCTTTAATGTGATAAAATATCATAACATAAAATTATAGCATAAAAAATGAAGGTAAATTTGTTTCTAAAAACTGATTCATTTTCTCGTATGTTTCAATTTTTGTAAAGTTGATCAATGTTATAACCAAAATTAAACGATATAAACTGTATTCAATATATATATATATA